CAGCCGAGGCAGCGATGTTGAGGCCCCGCTTCCCGAAGCTCAGCATGGTCTCGTAGCTGCGCTCCCTTGCCTGCACAATGCACGCATCAATCTCCTGCAGACCCAGAGCGGAGAGCTCAGATCAACCAAGGAGCCATTTCTCTGCGGACCCCGACAAGTCACTGGTTGTCATCATCCCTAGCCCACCCCTACCTAGGACCCAGGAGTCAGACAGAGGCTCAGAACAAAAACTAAGAGCGGGGTTCCCCATTCACACACCCACTCCACACCTCAGTGAAGTGTCCCTTCCATTTTTCCATGCCCACATCAACTTCCTGCTGGCATGTCACACCCCTAAAGTCCATTCGTGTGTATCACCCAGGTAGAGGAGGACAGCCAACCCCTTTCACAGTCCCACAGCAAATCTGAAGTGGGCAGGAAATTAGACCCAGACATCTCCACCTCCCCGAACCTGAGATACAGGGCTCTCTCTGACACACCCTCTCCCTGACACAACCTTCTGTGTTCTTCCTCTACTCCCCCTGGGGTACCTTCTCATGGCGGGATAGGGACGGGTGGACAAACTTTCGGTAAAGCAGGCTGGCCCCCTTGGTGTAAGGCGAGAGCAGCCACAGCACGAAGGCCATCTTGATCTCATAGTAAAAAGGGAACCTGTGGGAAGGGGAGGGGTGTGTGTGAGCCAGGTGCCAGGTGGGGGGTAGGCCTTCCTAACCCATCGCCTGCCAATCCTTGTGCCAGACCAGGAAATGAAGACGTCCGTGAAGGTCTCTGCTGCCATGAAGATTGCAAAGACGATCCAGTACATCATCCACCGGACCTGTGGGTCAGAGTGCACAGAGCTCAGCTTGGGAGCCTGAGGTGCCAACGCCCGCCCCCGGCTGCCCAACCCAGAGATTCCTGAGAGCCAGTCCCACTGCATTGCTGCATTTCCCCACGTCTGCTCAGAGGGAGCCCCTGAGGAACCGCCTTTCTTCGTGCGCACCCCAGCATGCTTCACCCACAAGATCCTCCATAGGCCTGCTAATGGCTGGCCCTCCTTCCACGCTCCCTTGATCTGGAGTTTGAGAGGCCAGCTCAGGCCTTCCATGTCACCAAGTCCGACCACCCCCTCCCTGACCACTCCTCAAAGGTGACCACATTACCTAAGCTTTCCCGCCAACCCTTTGCACTCACATATTCTCGAATGTTCTTGCTCTTCACAGCCTTGTAGGAAGCATATGCAGGATACAGCATCCCAAATATGAGCCTGGAACAGCAGCCATAGGAAGTGTGAGGGGCACCATGCCCCACCCTCTCCCTGCCAGGTGGCTGATTCCCCCAACTTGGGTTGGGGTGCGAGGTGGCAGTGCCTGCCCTGTTTTTCCCGCTTGGCTTGCACAACCCAAGGTGCCTGAGTCAGTGCCCTGGAGGCTGCCTCCCCACCCGGCTGTTTACAAACATCCCAAGCCTGCTCAGGCCTGCACTGATGGCCCATGGGTACAGGATAGCCTGAGAACACACAACAAGGTGGGTGAGGGCACCAAGCTGTCCCCTCCCACCACACGCAATCAGGCTCAGGGCCACCAGGATGCAGAGAGAGAGAGAGAGAGAGAGTGTGAGAGAGAGAGAGAGTGAGAGAGAGAGAGAGAGAGAGAGAGAGAGAGAGAGAG